GAGTTGCCTGTTCCCAAGGTCATAGTCTCAAGCTGTTTATTCATGGCCAAGCTCTGCTCTTGTAAAGTTCCCACCAATTGAAACATCCTTTCAATTTCCACCAGTAACTTTCCTTCCACAGCCATTGTATCCATTGTAGTTTCACAGAATTCCCCCTAGGGGGAATCTGGTTACTTATTAGCCTTTTCACCAACAATCCTTTCACTGATTATTATTACTTTGTTTCCAACGATTTTAGCTCAATTGTAACTCGTCTTAGTCCAGAGATGACAATTTTTGCACTTTAAACCGACCGTTTGGCAGCTTTGACAGCTGTCAAACTCCGCAGCTCTTACACAGGCACCGAGGCAGGACGTTCCCGGGCCCGGGAGGGGGGGTTGTTTGAAGCAAAAAGAAAGTTCCCAAAACTCCACTCTCCAGCCCAAAATTTCCTTTAGTTAAATCTTAGAAGTTAATGTCCTTTTTAACTCACCCCACCAGGGGTAGGCTCTCCAGCTTAGCTCTTATGCTGTTGCTTAGGTCGTCTGCAAGAGGGGGGGTGCGGACTTCCTTTTAGCACACACCCCGATCGTCTCCAATTCAAGGTAAAATTTTTATATAGTCCCAATCCGTCTTACTCACGGGTAATTCTTTCAGTCCAAATTTTCAAGGAAGGAAGTCAGCGCTCTCTGGTCCTGGCTCGCGGCTTCACTCCACCGAGGTAGCGATCGACTCTCAGTGCCACGCCACCCCCGTATCCCCTCCGCAGCCTTTAAAAAGGCTCTTTGCGAATCAGGGGGGGCGCTTAAGGCACCCGCCGAGTCTTCAGTCCGCAGGCTTCCGCGCCTGCGGTTTTTAAGGGTCCCCGCGTCGCCGGCGCGGCAAAGACCCATCCTCAGTGGAGCCGGTTCCCTCCGGAGCTCGGAGGGAATCCGCCATTTCCAGATCGCGTCAACCCGGAAGTCCCTGATATCCCGCCTTTCACTCCCCTTCAGGAGTCTCAAAGCGGCTAACATTCTCCTTTCCCTTCCTCCCCCACAACAAACACTCTGTGAGGTGAGTGGGGCTGAGAGACTTCAAAGAAGTGTGATTGGCCCAAGGTCACCCAGCAGCTGCATGTGGAGGAGCGGAGACGCGAACCCGGTTCCCCAGATTACGAGACTACCGCTCTTAACCACTACACCACACTGGCTCACTGGAGGGGTGGAGTTTCAGTGCCCTTCATAGTTCTTGCCCCCCTCCCCATGATTTTAGTGGCATAAATTACACAAAATAGTCCAAAGTGGGCATAGTTCCATAATTTGTATAATTCATGCAGCTTTCAACTTCTTTTTGGCACTCAATTTGGGTTATTAATTTTTTTACTTCAGAGTATATACACATTCATCAGTATAACGCAGATATGTTTTGGACAGTGTGTAATTTACTCAAAGTGGTAATTAGTACTTTGTGTTGAGTCCAGAATTAAGTGCCTAGGATAGTGCTGGTGAAAGCTGACTTCCCTGCCCAGTCCTATGCCATATGTAACATGGGGGGAACTGATGAGAATGGTGGAATCCCTGCAAGATGGACGGAGACAACTTCAGCTAGTGGAAACAGGAGCTTTGAATATTGTTTTTAAAAAGATCCCAACTATTGGCATTTAGTTTGCAGCATTGTATGAGAAGTTCAGGCAATATATTTTTGAATAAGGAAGTTTCACATTGTCATTTTTAAATAAAGTGAGAATGCCCCTGTACGTCAGTGATATGTACTCATGTCTGTATATATCTTTTCTAGCAAATGCACACAAATTTTAAGCCCATGACTCCAGTTTCAGCAAGAGATATCCATGGAGGCCTGCTTCTCTACCTACATCTCTTTCGCTGGATCTGGGCATCTAATTAAAATGTGCTGCTTTGCTATGATATTTCCTATCCAGTTTTTGTATCCTTCTTTCACTTATTCATTGTGATTTGGCTTAAAGAATATAGTGGGTTTTATTTTAAAAGTAAAAAGCACCATACTGCACAGTGATATTTACTTTACAAGTCTATTCCTTATATTTAGAATGAATACTGCATTGAGGCTTTCTATCATGCCACAGTAAATGTTTACTTTTGTTGGTGCCAACTGTATGCATTACTGTCTTTACCAAGTCTGAATCTTAGCTCTTTTTAATTTACTTTACAGGTTTTCACATATTGCTTTGGAAAGGTTTTCTTTGTGTTCTGTATGCCACTCCAAAAGATTCTGTGATTCTTTGGCCCAGTTCAGATTTCACATTAAACCATGGATTAAAATAAACTATGGTTAAATCATGCAAATGCACAGTGTATTGGTGCTCATTGCTTAAATGTTTCTGGGGTGCTCTCTCTCTCCACTTATACTGCTGCTATGCTACAGATGACACAAGTTTGCCCTGCCATGTGAGCTGAGCTTGTGGTATACCAGGGTTCATTTTAGCCAAAGAAGCACTGAGCTTGGATTCTGATGATACAAAAAACCACATTTTAACTGTGAAGTGAGGGAGGAGTGTAATGGGAACTTTTGAGCAGTGTGCATTATTAGCATGCGGCTTGTTCACATTTAACCATAGTTTGTTTTAAATTATGGTTTAATGCGATGTGCACACCAAGGCTTTGTCTGAGACTAAGGATACGGATTAGAACTTGCTTGTAGAAGCATTTCAGAGTACAGTACAATTATGAAACCAAAATCGGGGACAATTCTGGTAAATTGTTTGAAGATTATTTTATAAGATAGTTGCATGTTTCTCAGGGTGAGGCATCTGTCTTGGGGATTGGTTCTGAGGCAGCTGGAGATATCCTTTTTTTCACATTTTAATTCATATTCAAATCTGATGTACGTATTCAAATCTCTATGCAACTTTGTGTCATACTGATTTTTGTGAAAATTAGTGAAAATTCACAAACATTAAGCTGGTTGTATTTCCACATGTGAACTTTAGCAAACTGAACAGAGCTTGAGAGTTTAGTATGGAAACATGTATCTACTGATAACTATTAGTTATTGTACAATCATACTAATATAATTGCTTGGATCTTTGTCTGAAATTAGGCTATAATGGAGAACATCGCTGATATATTAGAAACCTGTGAGTGTCAGAATACTGTATTGTTTTGCAGCTAGTTCAATCTTTCCTTGCTACATTGGAATAATTTAATCACTGTAATTGGATTACAAATTAATTTTAACTTTGTAACTGTGATTATTTCTACATCAACAACGACCCAGGTCATATCTTGTGTAGATAAAGAGTCCCATTCCATATTATTTTAGATGCTATTTAATTGTATGGTTAATGTTAAGTGGTATTTAACTTCAAAGATTAAGAGGTCCTTCCTTTTATAGAGAATACAGTCCCAAAACATTTGTGTCCACCTCAACATTAATTGAGGAGTTAGCTAGTGAAAATGCACTGAGCAACTGTGCACGGATCGGTACTCAGTGAACAAATACCTTATTTGCACCAAGCTTGCATGCAATGCATATGTTTCAACTACAGTAATGTAGTTAAAGAAAATATACATTATTCTGCCTGCATTTAAACATACAAAAGTAAGGTGGATATTTTGCCATGTAGGCAATGTAGAAAACAGAATATTATTCTAATTAGTTTAAAAAGTATAAACCTTTCAGGATGACTTTGAATAATCGACCCAACCTCAGCAGTTCCTAAGGATGTATGTGTTCATCTGTCATGAGTGAACACAAGAAATGAAATGCTTCATCAAAGGCAGCTTTTGCAGTGCTTTGGACAGTTGTACTTCATTATTCACTGCAGAAAATGGATTCCCGCTAAAAATCCCATTTGATCCCAAGCATTGCCTTACTTGCTGGAATATACTATAGAAAGATTACCCAGTGGGATTCTCTATATATGTCCACTCAGAAGTATGCCCCATTAAGTCCAATGGGGCTTTCTGCCAGGTGGTTGCTATAGGATACCATTAATTATTACCAAAGTAGAAACATCTCCAAAAAAAGTATGTAGAACAGTGAAAGGGGATCTGTAGCTCATCAGATGTTGTTAGATTACAACTCCCATCATTCCTGATAATGAATTGTGCTTGCTGGAACAGAAGGGAGTTGCAGTCCAGCAGTATCTTGGAGGGTCACAGATTCTGAATCTCTGCTTTAGAGCAGCATTGTACAATTTGTTGAAGCATCAAATTTCTTGAATTTGTGAAAATCACTAGTTTAAATTACAAAAAAAACTTTATCATTTCACTGGGTCAAAGTCAGTCTCATTATACAGATGGGAGTTATGAACAGATTTGATTTCACATATGGACTGACTAATTATGAATTCTGGTGATACCACTAATTCCAGTTCAATCTGCTTCTCAGGTTAGCAAGGGGGGGGAGCTAATGTCAACAAATGTGGTATTACAATTTAGATGCTTGATCGTTGAAATTATCTTTATGATATAAGTAAACTAACCTCCTTGCAATTTGGAATCTGGCAACCATTTCATGAGTCCAAACACAGATTATTGTGAAAATATCGAATCTTCAGGGGATCCAAGACATATCTGAAAAAATGTATGAAGGGTATCTTGTGGCTTTCCATTCGGGTGTCTCCGTTTAGGCCTTGATCACAAGAATGAACTTTTCACTCCAAAGTCTTGCTTGTTTCCTACTTCTTTGTAGGATAAATACGATCAAGGACTCTTATGACACATAATGTTCTAGATTGTGCAACTTGAGTAATAAAAAATCAATCATTGGAATGGATTTGTAGAAAACCAAAGTAAGTACAAAGCAGAGGGGGAGGCATAGGGGGCAATAAATGAAAAGAATGAACATTGTCTTGTTAAGCAAGGTGTCAGGTGAAGGGGGCATGAGTCAAACAAAGACTTATGCCATAAGTATTGCCAAATGAAGTCCTATTTCACTGGGATAAGTGGCATCATAGGTTGTTTGTTCATGTGCATCACAAAATGTCCATTTTCATAAGCTTAAAACACTTTCAAACAATTGCATTTTTCCTTCTCTCCCCACCTCCTCAAATATAGACATGGGATGTAGAGCTGGAGAGATCAGCACAATCCTGGGCTGAGACATGTCTTTGGGAACATGGTCCTGCAAGTCTTCTTCCATCCATTGGACAGAATTTGGGAGCACACTGGGGAAGGTATAAATAATTATATTTTACAAATGATTTCAAACAGTGTAAAAAAAAAAAGGTTCTCCTTAAAAATGTCATATAAACATTGTTTCTGTTGATAACTGCAGCGGCTGTTTGAATTATTTTTGAGTTTTGTTTGGTTCCTTTTTTGTAGATATAGACCTCTAACATTTCATGTCCAAGCATGGTATGATGAAGTGAGAGACTTCAGCTATCCTTATCCTCAAGAATGCAACCCTTATTGCCCTTATAGATGTTCTGGTCCTGTATGTACCCATTATACACAGGTGGGTATGCATTATTCTTCCCAATATCAACAATGATGTAATCAACTTGAGAAGTTTTTGCTTCAGATATAACATTAAGCCAGGGATTGTGTTTCTTTTCTTCCACTCACATATCATCTATCTATCATCTATCTATTTATCATCTATCTATCTCCATTCTGCTTTTAAGAGCAAAATAATTGCATTTTTATGCATGATCAAAGACCATAACTGTTTTATTTTATTGAGATCAACAGATGATGTAAATAAGTGGAATCCCGTCAGAATCCACATGCTAGCAAGAGATCTGCAGTATATATACTTTCCTCGACTATTCATTGTGTTAAACTTTAACTATATTAATTTTTCTTCTGTCTCTATGCCTGCAGTACTGCCTGTATTATTATTTTTTAAAAGTTTTCTGGATAGTATTATAATATTCATTTGTTTTGATTTGAGTCAGGCATTTAACTGTCTTTCTTTCGTTTTGTCCAATAGGTGGTATGGGCCACAAGTAGCAGAATAGGTTGTGCAGTTAATTTGTGCCATAACATGAATGTCTGGGGACAGATATGGCCAAAAGCCATTTATCTGGTGTGCAATTATTCTCCCAAGTAAGTATATATGACAGATTAAGAAGTTAGCTATGGTACATTGGTACACAGAGATAGGTATAAAAAGAACCCCAGTGCCATTTTTTAAAAAACAGAAAAGCTATTGGGAGGGTTACTTTGGGAGGGTTGGAACCCATGGCCCACCAGATGTTGTTGGACCAGATGTTCAGCCCCAGATTTGCCCCAGCCAAAGGCCAAATGGTTAGGAATGATGGGCGTTATAATCTAACATCTGCAGGACCAAAGATTAGTAGTCATCCCTGGACTACAGAAATGTTGGGGGTGGGAGTGCTTTATTATTTTCCCACACAAGCTGCTTTTTAATCTCATAAGGTACACATGGGTTTGTGACAATTTAATACCCCGCTCTCACCACCATCATGTTTCTATTCCATATTCCCAATCCCTAAGGTTTCTTTTCTTTTAGCGTTGGGGGAGGTCTGCTACATTTATAAATATATCAGCCACTCCCCATGTGGCTGGGTCATTAAAATATTACCTCAGCCACATGGAAGCTGGTCACAGAAAATGTACCTGTTACACATAATTAAACCTTGACACCTGTGTTTATTTTGAAAGGACAAAGGAACTTTTTAAATAAAGCTTTCAATTTTACATTTCAAAATAAACATTTTACAAACTTTGAAATAGCCAATGACTTCCCTTCTCCTTCCATGGTTCATTTTATGTATCATACATTCCTGCATATTTTGCTATAACCATTCACATCAGTTTTCCACTTTTACATCCATCAAAAATTATTTACTCTGTTGAATTTATCTTAGTGCTGCCAGCGTTTTCAGCTGTATACAGTTATTTTCAATAAATGTTTTCCACTCTTCTTTAAATGTATATTCTTCTTGCTCTCTTATTCTCTGTGTTAAATGTGCAAGTTCTGCATATTCTATCAATTTAAGTTGCCAATCCTCTTTAGTTGGGAGCTTGTTCACTTTCCAGTTTGGGGCTAACAAAACACAGGCTGCAGTTGTTGCATACATAAATAAACTTTTGCATGCCCAGTCGCAGACCCCTCATCCCCAGGAGCCAGACACAACGCAGCATAGTTATGGGATTAAAATTAGGTCACAACTTTATTAAATTTCAGATGTAGGAAACCTTGGCTTAGGCATTGGGCATGTATCCCTCTCAGCCCCCAATTGGGGTCTGAGGCTAAGCAGTGACAGACAGGAATTATGGGGGACACTGCAAAACATGTGTTTACGCAGCCCCCCCCCACTCCTCCAGTTCTGGGAGTTTGACCATACACCAAGCACTCACGGTCAGTGACTCCCAGCATAAACCCCTCTAACAGGGCCCTACTAATAATCATTTTCAAATAATTCTCTTTCAATGAATTTTCAAAGCTTCTCCCAGAGATTAAGATCTATATTGTGTCCTATATCTATTGCCCAGTATGTCATTGGAGCTTTACCTTGCTCGTCTTTTGTTTCCCATTCTAATAAAAAATTATGCATTTTAGACAGAAGTTTATCCTTATTTTGTAAGAGTTCTTTTTCAAATTGTGAGCTTTGGCCCAGAAATCCATTCTTTCTATCTAATTTAAACATGTCATATACCTGGTGATATTGCAACCAATCCGTAACTTGGCTCCTTAAGTATTCCATTGATTTCAGTTTGGGTCCCCCCCACAGCTGTACAACCCAGCAGTTCCTTGTAAGTCACCCATTGTCTGCCCACAGGCAAAGGAACATTTAATCCATTAGGTAACAGAGAAAAATCAGACTGAATTTTCTGTTTTGAGTTTCTGTAATGTGTTGCATTGTTTGTAGTGGAGCTTTGACCCAGTGCAATGGTAACACGTTTTGAATTTTGCAAGCTCCAACCTAAATCTGTTTTAGTCCAAAATTACAACATTCCAAGCATTCTCGAAAATCTGCCAGCTCCATTTATATACACAATCTGCTCATTTTACAACAGATGATTAGAGGGGATTTGATTGGCAGCAGTTCACCTGCATTATGGTAATTTTGCATGGTGTTAAATAAGGCTGCACTCGGCTACAATCTTCCTTGGCTTTGGAACAGCATGGGCAGAGCAGACCTATACTCCAATTTTGGGGGGGTTTGGGAGGGGAGGGAGATATGGCGCTACTGTGCTGGCAGAATGATAGTCATGTACTGTACCCAAAGGAGTGGAGAGACAACCATAAATTTCCCATAAGGAGAAAAATAGCAAACACCACTTCTCCCTCCCAGACACCTCCATGGAAACACCACCAAAATATGCTAAGGAGGGGCTGTGCCAGACAGGCGCTTGCATGACAGACTTGGAGGGATCCAATGAATTCAGATCCCAGGAGCAGACCCACAGCACTCTCCCCTGCGTTGCTGCACAACATGGAAAATTATACCCCAATGCTCCCTTTCCACAAGGGCCATTAGCACTCACATAGGCAGAATCAACCCCACTATTGTGAGTCCCCAATGATCCTTCCAAGCAAGGGTTTGAGTCTCCCTTGTGTGGCTCATGATCAGCATTTCAGAGCACGGCACACACAAAGAGAAGGAAAAAGATACCACACAACGCTGTACCCACATAGCTTTCTGGGCAGGAAGCCTGCATAAAACACATACAAAGAGTATGTACCCCAATGTATCCTCTCTTCTGTTCTCATTAGGAAAAATAAAAAATACCCCTCAGTTTGGCCAATTATCAACCTCAGCCCTCATTTGTGAAATCAAGCAATTTCCTCGGTACCTTTGGCTCTACCAGCAGGAAGGATAATCTTCTGAGCATGTTTCTGGGGATTAGCTATATATGTTGCAGCTATAGATCACGTTGTCCTACTTACCAAATGCATTAATTGTGCCTGTAGCTCAATAAAATACTATATCAAAAGCTTATTAAGGCCTGAGAATACATGTCTCTGCCCTCCCTGCCCCCCAGGCCATTTAGGGTAATGCTTTGGAAGCAAATCTACCATTCATGGCATGTCGCCATAGCTATAGCTGTGCCACTCTTACAGCACCATCTAGGAGGTATGACTTGTACCCCCCTAAAAAGCAGTCCAGGTGAACCAACCACCCCAGTTGGGTGAGAGGAAGTTTCACAGTCACAAGTGCCTGTGTCCTTATTAGGTCAGTGATAGGCCTTTTAAACTGTGCAAAACAAAATATTTATCATGAATATATTTCACTAAATAGCATTTCTCCCCTAGGGGTAATTGGTGGGGGCATGCGCCATACAAGCATGGTCGCCCATGTTCTGCATGTCCACCTAGTTTTGGAGGAGGCTGTAGAGAAAATCTTTGTTATAAAGGTGTGTATTCAGCAAATTAAATTGTATCTGCTGCCACTTTTCTTGGTATCTAAGGGAAAGGGAAGGGATCATTTGATTCCATGGGAATTCTATGTGTTGGTCAAAGGCTTATTCGTATTTTTTACTCCACATGAAGTGACTTTGATGGTCAGAAAAACATAATGAATATTTGGCTTTAACAATTTGTACCAAAAAGCTTTTGCAAATCGACACCTATATCATTCCATCTTTTAAGAAAGACCAAAAATCATGCAATGAATTCATTAACAGTGGAATCATATATATGTCTATTCAGAAGTGAATCCTACTGGGCTTACTTTCAAGTCAGCAAACATTGAATTGCAGCCTAAATGTATTCTAATTCAGAACCTTCTGAACACAACAGAAGGCATTTTCACACTTTCTATCTGGGGATAAAATGTAGCATACAGTGGTACCTTGGTTTGCATACGTCTTGGTTTGCATACCTTTTGGATTACAAACACGTCAAACCCGGAAGTGGGTGTTCCGGTTTGCAACCTGTTTTTGGATTACAACCCATTTTTTTTGGATTACGAACAACTTTTTTTGAAGGCCCTCTTGGCGAAAGTGCGCCTTGGGTTACAACCTGTTTTGGTTGTACAACAGACCTCCGGAACTGATTATGGTTGTAAACCAAGGTACCACTGTAATTGGAGTGCTGACCAACATGTACTTATTAGAATATGAGTAAAGAACTTCCCTGCGTAGAACTGTACTTGAATAGAGCTTTCTCTGTGTAATCTGGAATGTTGTCTTTGCAAGCTTCCTGAGTCCATAGAGCAGGCACGGGGAAGCTATAGCTCTCCAGATGTATTTGGACAACAATTCCCATCATACCTGGCCATTGGCCGGGGTCAATGGAAGTTGGAGTCCAACAACATCTAAAGGGCCATAGGCTCTCTACCCCTCACTAATATAAACTGGTTCTCTACAGACATTATAATGAACCACGTTTATTGAGGAAAAGCCTGTACCTGTGATGCTGCCTCTTCAATGCATCTTCATTATCTCCAGATTGAAGAGGATAATCTCTCATTGTGTCAGTAGCTTTGCATCCTAATAGATTCACTTTTGTTTGCAACCTTCACTTAGTGACATGATAGTAAAAACAATTATCACAAGCCAGCCAGTATTAAACATTTTCAAGTCCCATTAATTGTAGTGAGAGATATTTACTCCCAGCAGGGCCTGGAGGTTCTAAGTACTAAACTGCATTTGTATGCACACAAGCTCCATACAGTGGGACTTACTTCCAAGTAGACCTCCATCAGATGGCTTTGGCTTCCTCGTGGCTAGTTACAAGACATACTTGCTCTTCCATTTCTGATTCACAGGAATTGACTGTTGTTTAAAAAATGGCATTTGTTCCATTTGTTTGCTATAACAGAAGGTTCAGAAAGACGTTACTCTCCAGAGATGGAAACCAATGAGATTGAACGGCAGCAGTCACATGTTCAGGATTCATCACAAAATCGATTAAGGTCACATGCAGCATCTGATGATGGTGACAGAAATGAAGTCATAAGCAAACTACAAATGTGTAAGTCAATTTCATTTTTATCACCGGTTTCATTTTGCTGTTGGTTTTTTCTAACGCTGTGGGACACTGAAATAATAATGGCCACTTTCTCCCCCAGCTCAAATTGTTTCCTGTGAAGTACGGCTAAGGGACCAGTGCAAAGGAACAACTTGTAATAGGTAGGGCATTCCTTCCAGTTTATCCAGAATCCATGGGATTACATGCATTTTTAAATTTTATTGTTTTTGCCATTATTCTCAGATCAAACTGTTTCCCCCCCCCCTAGGTATGAATGTCCTGCTGGCTGTTTGGACAGCAGTGCCAAAGTAGTTGGAAGTGTACATTATGACATGGTAAAATATTATAATTAACACTCACTGTAGCACCATTTGATTACATTTTTTTAATCTAGGAGGTTAGCTAATGCATGCTATCATTGACAAAACATTATGTAAACAGAACTGGGTGAAAAGTAAGCTAAAATTGATAGAAATATCTGAGGATAACTGGTGAGATTTTACTCATTATCTCATTTTGAGTCGGAGATTTAGTTAGCACCTCAAGTAGAGAATTCACAAGTATAGTCAGACATACTGGGTTGTATCCAGTGTCTTTCATATTCAGAATAGACATGTTGAAATTGATTGACCTGATTAACTCAGGTCCATTGATTTCAATAGGGCTATTCTGAGTAGAACTTAGTTGGACACAACCTAATATATCTCGTATCATTTGCTAACTCATCTTTGATAGCATAAAACTGAAAATGACTAATAGATGACTTGCAGTATGCCAGAATATAAGAAAAACACAAGTTTGCTTTGAAATAGAGGTGCTCCTCCTTTTGGAAATGTCATGGGGGAAATAATTGTTCAGGTATGGATCTTAATTTCTGTTTCTGTGTTTTTCTATCGTAGCAATCAAGCATTTGCAGAGCTGCAATACATTATGGCATCCTAGATAACGATGGTGGCTGGGTTGATGTTACCAGGCAAGGAAGAAGAAATTATTTCATTAAATCCTATAGAAATGGAGTTCAGTCAATTGGGTGAGTAAAAATACAAATATTCAGTCACAAATGTGTAGGTAGATCTCAGGTTTTTAATATATTAGCCTATAAGCATGGGACGTGGGTGGTGCTGTGGTCTAAACCACTGAGCCTCTTGGGCTTGCCGATCAGAAGGTCGGCGGTTCGAATCCCCGTGACGGGGTGAGCTCCCATTGTTCAGTCCCAGCTCCTGCCAACCTAGCAGTTCAAAAGGATGCCCCAAAGTGTAAGTAGATAAATAGGTACCACTCCTGCGGGAAGGTAAATGGCGTTTCTGTGTGCTGCTCTGGTTTCACCAGAAGCGGCTTAGTCATGCTGGCCCAATGACCTGGAAGCTGTCTGCGGACAAACGCCAGCTCCCTCGGCTATAGAGTGAGATGAGTGCCGCAACGCCAGAGTTGTCCATGACTGGACCTAACGGTCAGGGGTATCTTTACCTTTACCTAAGCATATATATATATATATATATTTATTTCACAACATTTAAAAACTTGATTATAAAAGCAGCTTTTATAATCAAGTTTTTAAATGTTGTGAAATAAAATATATATCCTGAGCAGAGATTTTGTTTTACCATATAATACTTGTCACTGTTTACTGTTATGTTCTAATATAACATAGTATCTGTGAACCTTGAATAGTAATCAGAAAATTACTTCAGTAGTTATCTCAGTCTTTCTGAAATCCTCTGGTCTTTTGAAGTAACCTGGCTGTCACTACATTCATCTCCCCAAAATTTCTGCATTATAATTTTTGCCATCTCTTGTTCAGTCAGTGGAACTTTAGGCTGAATCAACACAGTTAAGGATCCTCCAGCAGGTTTAAATCAATCACTTGACTTTGTGTTGGATGCTCTTAAATGTTTAGCACATAAATACATATTTATGCAGCCTCATTGAATTTATTTATTTATTTAGAGACCTATAGCTGCATTCTTATTCAAGCTTGGGAATGAGATGCATTGAAGTTAATGAAATCTACTTCAGAGAAGACATGTATAACACTACACTATAAGTTAGAAAGATGCTTGCAGAGTGGATTTCTACACAGTTGTAGAAGTATTCAAACAACATATTTTTGTTCCATTTCCCCATTAATTTGTGCTCCTTTTGCTCAGTTATTAAAAATGTTTGTGGCAATTGTTTTATGATTTCATTGTACATCACTTTGGAGAGCATACATAAAGCAAATATATGGATATTGGTAATAATAGCTACGTTTCTGTTTTTATTGTAGCAAATACCAGTCTGCGAATTCCTTCACAGTCTCTAAAGTGCCAGGTTAGCATTAATTTATATAATACAGCATTACTCATTCATTAATGTATATGTTATCTATTAACATTTATTTGAGTGTGCTTTTTAAAATTTCAGTGCAAGCTATCACTTGCGAAACAACTGTGGAACAATTATGCCCCTTTTACAAGCCAGCCACACATTGCCCAAGGTAAGCTATTTAATTTTGTCTGTTGTTTAATTGCCATTCCTATCACAATACAGGGGAAAGGCTATTACAAACCATATGGTGATGTTGAACTAGAAATATTAGTCATTAGACTTCCTTATATGTTGAACTTCAGGCTGCTGACATTATACTGGACCTTATGAATATAAGTTCATACACTGAGGGTGCAGATGGGAGCCACTATGCCAATGCTGGAACAGGCATATTTATTTTCCTTCCCATTAAAACATTTTTAATGGGGAGAAATGGAAAGGGAAAAGGGGAAAAAAAGGAAAAGGAGCCTGGCAGGGCTTTGGATTTGTCCATTTGCTCACCACAACCACTCCTTATGTTGACTAAGTCAGATTGCTCTGTAGTTGATACATAGGTGGAACTCTCTGAGCCCCCATTCATAAAAATGAGCTTCTCTATTCACACAGCGAGTTCTGTGTGCACACTGAAGCATGTACAAGTACTATGAACTGAAGGCAAAGCCAGAATTGTTGGGATATCCTCAAGCCGTCCATAGTGTAAAAAGCCCATATGACCAAGAGAACAGGAAATATAATAGAACAAAGCAATGCATGAACATAAAACTCTTCCATTATGTGTGCTTTTCATTGGATGAAATGATCGAAAATTTGTACTTTACATGTGAAAAAGTTATAATTGTCTATGTTTTTATTTTATTTTCTATTTTCAAGGCTCTATTGTCCTCACAATTGCATGCAGGCAAATCCACACTATGCTCGAGTGATAGGATCAAGAATTTATTCTGATGTAAGTAAGATAACATATTTCTAAATCTGGAGTGTAAAATAATTGCATTTATACAATTATTTATTATTTATTTATACTAGCTTAGCAGGTGGGAAATTGAATCATTAAAAATATGTGGCTTCATTTCCAGTTTAGATCCATTGATATACATGGATTCTCTGATTTAATTTTTTAGTTCAAACAGACACTATGTTTGCAAAGCTGCTTGTTGTCTGTTTTATCCACTTGAACCAATTGTGAACCAGTATACAGTGGTACCTCAGGTTACATACACTTCAGGTTACATACGCTTCAGGTTACATACTCCGCTAACCCAGAAATAGTGCTTCAGGTTAAGAACTTTGCTTCAGGATGAGAACAGAAATCGTGCTCTGGCGGCGCGGCGGCAGCAGGAGGCCCCATTAGCTAAAATGGTGCTTCAGGTTAAGAACAGTTTCAGGTTAAGAACGGACCTCCGGAACGAATTAAGTACTTAACCCGAAGTACCACTGTAGATACATACAGTTCAGATATATTCAGTTTCTTTCCAGTCACAGGATACTTTTACACATACCGTATCCATGTGGTAAACCCTAACAATTAAAACCTATTTCAGGATGCCACATGGCCGCAATACATATTTTGCGCTAGGAAAGATCTGAAATTGTCAAGAGGAATGTTGAAATGCAAACAGAAAGTAGACCACACAACACAAGCGGACTAAGAAAAGCCAAAGCAAGAAAGATTTCACTGACTGGCTGTTCTCCTCAGCTGACTGTGACTCCATTCATACACTTACATGTCTCAGTTGCTGTTGGCATCCGTCTCCCTCGGGAGACAATGGGGGAGTGCGCCTTTGGGGGTAAGGCCAAACTGTTGGAAGGTTACACCACCTGCTGCGGCTCTAGAGACTGAAGTGGAAGAGACATGTTTTGCTGCAGCCAGGGCAGATGAAGGTGTCCAGTTGTGCTGCTGCAGATGCACCATGGCGTTTCTTCTCTCTGCACTCCTCCCAGCCATCATTTCTGACCTTTAAAGCCCTAAGTGGCCTTGGTCCAGTATGCCTGAAGAAGCATCTCCACCTCCATCGTTCTGCCCAGACACCGAGGTCCAGAGCCGAGGGCCTTCTGGTGGTTCCCTCGCTGCAAGAAGCCAAGTTACAGGGAACCAGGCAGAGGGCCTTCTCAGTAGTGGCACCCGCCCTGTAGAACACCCTCCCACTCAATGTCAAAGAAAAAAGCAACTACCAGACTTTTAGAAGACACCTGAAGGCAGCCCTGTTTAGGGAAGCTTTTAATGTTTAATAGACTATTGTATTTTAATATTTTGTTGGAAGCCAGATGGGCAGGGTATAAATAATAAATTATTATTATTATTATTATTATTATTATTATTATTATTATTATTATTATACTTTGGCCATTGCTATGGATACACGACTTAACTGTCTGTCTCCAGGCACTGCAGTTGCCTGCAAGGGATTCGCACATGGTGGGGTTGATGTTACATGTCATGTTTGCAGACATCTTTGAACATAGAGTTGGCCTGGTGCCGTAAACCAGCTCCCCATAGAGAACGTTCTTGGGAAACTTCCCATCTTCCATTCTGTGGACAAGACCAAGCCAGCATAGATGTCACTGGAACAGGAGTCTCAGTAGTGACTGGCTATATCACTATGCAGTACCCTCCAGATGTTTTGGATTACAGCTTCCATCAGCTCCAGCCAATATGATAGAAGTTGTAGACCAAACTATGCTGAGGGCATCATGTTGGGGAAGGAATGAGGCACAACCAGCAGTCTTATAAGCTAGAAATGGTTGCTGCCAAATTCATGTTTCCGTGGCTCACTTTTATTGCTTTTACCATCACTTGTTTGTTAGAAAATACTCTGGCAATATTGGTTTATTCAGTACTTGTCAAGTAATGATGAAAGCCAGAAATGTGATCATGCCCTTCTGCTGGTGACTGCAGTCGTGTACAATAGTATAGGGCGATTTCAACTATGCTGACAATCTGATTGCCATTTGAATTATACACACACATCTCTCCTCATATATTTGAGAGCACATTGATAACTTTCTACAGCAGAATAGGTAAAATTCCCAGGAATTCCATCTGTCATCAATAATAAATATCTATGTAAATAAAGGCTTGAAAGATCCTTTTATAAGTGTTTAACATGCCTTTGCAGACTGATTCTATGCTGTTGTAAGTATCTGGAATTTTGCTGAGTAGCGAAAGAAGGAAAATGATTAAGCAGCTCGGTATTCAGATTCTGTGACCTGTTAAATGCTGATGAATGCCAAAGGGTTCACAGCACAGCAATAAAGCAAGGCCTTGTAATACTATATGAAATGTTCATGCTAACTTTTAAAGTACTTTAGACAGTCTTATTTATGCATGGGGCTGTACTGCAACCCAGTAAGACTATGGCCAATATATATATATATAATTGCTTAGTAAAGTGTGTTAAATGCAGACTATGAGTTACCCAGTACCTTTCATAGTTACCAATGCATGGTCATTTCGTCTTTATTAAAACTACATTTCCCCCAAAGAAAATGATGGTGAATACCCTGGTGCTACATAAACCACAAAAGAGAGATAAAAGTTCTGTCACTTGATTTGCAATTTTTCATTTTTTTAAAAAAAACCCTTCTATTTTAATTTTCTTAGGCATCTAGTATCTGCCGGACAGCTATACATGCTGGAGTGATTCGGAATGAAGGAGGCTTTGTTGACGTTATGCCAGTGGATAAAAGAAGGATGTATACTGCTTCATTTCAAAATGGGATTTTTTCAGAAAGGTACAGAGTGTGACTTTGAAGACCAGTGTTTACTATCTACATGCACACACCTGCCATTCTTTGCAATCCTACGTTAATCCTGGAATAGTTGTGTTCTACTTAATGCTAATTAACCAGACGTGAGTTGTATAACAATGGCAATTGCCAGGGAGAAGCAGCTGCCTGTTTCCCGTAAGCTCAAATCATAACCCTAAAAGCTGCTTATGAATAAAAACAACTCTTTTGTTGTTGATCCAGTAGCAAATACCATAGTAGCTGATAAGAAAGTTGCATTGAGTTTCTTCAGGATTTTCAGGTTTGCTTCTGCCTAAGTATACATGTTTATATCCACAATTTATCAGCAAAATCCTGTCAACATTAAGCATGTGCAATCTCATTTAATTCAGTGAGTTGGCATTTAAAAGCAGAAGTGTTTCACTTTGTATTGTGCCCTAATTATTTAGTGTAGGTAGCTAAGTTTTCTTACACAGGAGGATTTCAACCTCCACCTCCCCAAATAGCTGTGTACTGTAAATAATCACTATATATATATATATATATATATATATATATATATATATATGAGATATGCAAAGGTATAGAGAAGATATATTTGGTAGCATGGAGAAATAAACAAAAAAATAAGTTTTACTAAATTTGTAAAATTGCAAAAGAGCATGATAGAACTATCGCAATTCCCTAGTGCAGATGGCTTGAATGGTGGTGATGGTGGTTAGGATAGTGTGCAATTGCCTATCCATTGGATTTCATTGCTGGAGAGGAATCTACTGGTGGGGAGGTTCCGGCTCTGTGGGCAGAAGCCAGTGTGGTGTAGTGGTTAAGAGCGGTAGTCTCGTAATCTGGTGAACCGGGTTTGCATCCCCGCTCCTCCACATGCAACTGCTGAGTGACCTTGGGCTAGTCACACTTCTCTGAGGTTTCTCAGCCTCACTCACCTCACAGAGTGTTTGTCGTGGGGGAGGAAGGGAAAGGAGGTTGTTACCCTAAGGAGACTCCTTAGGGTAGTGATAAAGCAGGATATCAAATCCAAACTCCTCCTCCTGTAGGAAGCCCCTAAATGAGCTGGACCAGTGCCTTGTGGATTTCCCAAGGGATCCAATCTTTCTTTTCTCTGCTATGCCAGCCTTGTTTGGTAAATAGTAAATATAATGACAAAATCTGCAATCCCACCTTCCGCCCGGGCTGGCATGAGCTAGCTGGGCTCAGGATATGGCAAAGATCCATCCCTGGTGGCTTTCCAGCCTGAGGACATTAGGCCTACTTTGCCCATGTCATAAAATGTGTGTCAGGATTTCTGATCCTAGTAGTTGTTTTGATAGCGCTAAGCTATTGAATTGTATCATAATTTTACATGCTGTCAGGCATGGGTCTGTAATAACCTTGAACACAAGATTGACCTGGTGTGTGTGTGTGTGTGTGTGTTTTGCTGGAAGGGTTGCACTTATTGAGACCTAGATGTTTTACTTCAGCAGACAGTATTGAGCATTTGGAAGTACAGATGGATGTACAGATAGAAATTTCTGAATGTCAATTTGCACATCTGATGGTGGGAGGACCAGGGCTTCTGCAGATGGCTTAAATGTATGGGTAGATTTATCTCTAGAATAAGTGCTTGGTAAGATTGGGATCTTAAAACATAAACTAAGCTATATGAAATGTTACTACTTTTCCCCTTCTGTAGTTTACAGAATCCTCCAGGAGGCAAGGCATTCAGAGTGTTTGCTGTGGTTTGAAGGTAACAAGTAAACTGTAAAAACAAAAGCTAAATACAGTGCTTGGAAGAAGAGAAAGAAAATGCCATCTAATTTCCTTCCTCAAGTTTGTATAAAGATGTAATATTGCTGTACAGAATATATTTACTGTTTTCTGACTGAAAAGCGGTTTAACTGCATGTAAATCTTAATGGGGGAAAATCTGTAAAGTTAAACATGGGAAAATGCATATGAAAAACTATGATGATAAATAACTTGTTTTGAATCCTGTGTTAAATATTGCTATATTTTCTTAGCATTTATTCCTATGCAATTCGTTTGAAGCTCATAAATGTTCCACAATTTAAAAACAAAACAAAACTGAATACATTATTATTATTATGGTGTTTATTATTATTATGGTGTTTTATGTATGCCACTAACATTAACTGTAAAGGTATATCTATGATAGATCTTATATCCACTGTATATATCATTTTTCATTGCTTAAAATTGGAAAAAAAACTAATTCCCTAAAGCAAGCAGTGAACATATATTATTGCAGAAACACACGCAGTCAAAAGAATGAGATATTTTGCCATTTTTACACTTTTCTGTTTTGATCCAACTTTTTAAAATGCCAGTTAAAACGAATCCTGGTTGAGAGCAGTATATTTTTAAAAATATAATAACTGTCTTGTTTTTGTATCGTGTTGGTAATTCAATTTTTTTTTATAAAAAAAAGCAGGATCAGATGCCACCAGCTTGGTACAAGCAGTTGTTTACATAATGATATGTAAAAGTAGGGCAGCAGCAACATCAGGTCTGCATGAGTACACTGGCAGAGTCAATTTAGCACTCTCACAGGTGCACACAAGGACCTTTCACCTCTCTGTCACCCTGTCCCAGCCCCATAAGCATTGCCCCACAACTCCTATTAAAAACTAAGAGTTTTAAATCCTACAATCATGTCAAGGTGAGACTGACATTTGAGTAAACCCTTAGAACTGGGTTTAAGACAGACTATATACGGTACTTTTCCATGTATAGGACGCCCCCATGTAAAAGGCGTTCGCTTTTTGGGGGGACTCCATATAGATAAAATGGGGGGAGATTGCCCACAGTTGCTGAGCTTTTTTCGGTGGGGATTGCCCAGATTTGTAGAGCTTTTGTGGGGGTGAGGGTTTGCCGAAATTTCCTCACCCACAGGAACGCAACAGCCAATCGCATGCACATCAAGGACGCCACCAATCGTCTGCACGATCACTGAAAGCAAGCACCAATCGCCAGTCCAATTGCCGCAGCAGCCAATAGCCAGCAGACCTTGCAGCACCCACCAATCACCTGCAAAAATGCAGCAGACATTATCCTGCTTGCGGCAGCCACCAATCGCCCGTCACACCTCTCCACTATCCGTGTATTAGATGACCCCAAGTTTTTAGCATAATATTTTAATAAAATAACCTAGTCTTATACACAGAAAAATACCGTAGTTCATTTGGGCTCCAGTAAATCAGCTCCCAGAAATACAATAGACATAGAATCACAGAACCAAAAAGCTCTAAGGAAACACAAGTGTCACCCTTCTTGCAATCCCCTGCAATGCAGGAATCTTTTCACCCAACTTAGAGCTTTTTACCCAACCCTGAGATTAAGATGCTCTACCAAACTGAGCTCTCACTATGCACAAGGTTGTTTGTAAGACTGACACCCCATACTACATAAACTGTCCTGTATAGTACTGGTAAATGGTGAAACTGCAGAATAACGGAATTTGTAACATAGGCTCTAATACCTTTAATTTCTTCATCTGATGCATATTCCTGCAGGGCGGGACACAGTGCCAAAGATTACTATCACATTATTTCACCATTTCATTTGATCTCATTTATGGTAGATAGCATTACATCTGCCCTATTGTGGTATACTAGAGAAATTATATAATGGTGACATTATCAAGCTTTCTATGAAAAGTGTATTGTGTAAGACTGTAAAACTGATAAATAGTTTTCCCCCCTGTTATTTTTTTATCTTTATAGTTGTGGACTTTCTTTCGAAATGCCATTGGTAGCGATATTCTTCATACATGCATCACAGTATTATTTTGTTCAGCTACATGTACTACCTCATGTAGTTAGGCAAACTTTTTTTGAATAAAAAGTCTACTAAATGAAATGACAGTAAAATTGTGGTTCTTTTTATAATGCTAAAGAAATATGTTTTTGGCATATCACATTTGCTCATTATAGAGATTAAAGCAGACCTAGGGTCTGTTTGAAAGAGTCCTCCATTTGAAGATCACCCTGTCAGAGTCTTCCTCGCTATGCTGAAATTATAGCGTTTCCATTTAGTTTAGAGTAAATATTTCTAAATCAGTACATATAAATTAGCACATGCAAATGTTTTTTGTGATGCATTTACCCTTTTTGCCTGATGCATATGTGACCACACCAAACAGTGCATATACTATGAATACAGGAAGTCTCAGATTCAGTCTTTAGTACCTCCAGTTAGAAGATCATGAGTAGGAAAGACCTCGGAACCTGAAACTCTGGTGTGCTCCTGCTATTCCAGGCAGACATTACCTGGCTGAACACATTAACACTGACTATAGAAGGTAGCTGTTCTTTCTTTTTTTTTCTTTTTACTTATTTTTAATAGGAATTAAAAATAAGCAAATCACTGGTTCCAAATACCATTCAGCCAAGAGCACACATGTGAAATTGCAAACATATTGCCAGCGGTGGAGGAAACCGACTGGGCACCTGGGGCGGCACGCCCAGGACTGGGAGGGGCGGGGCGAGGGCAGGGTGAGCCGCCCATAGGGGTGGGGTGCACCACGGGGCCTCTGGAGTCTTCCTGCCTCCTCCCACTCAGCCACCCTACAGCTGGGGGGGAGGCAGCGGGCATACCATTTGGGCAGCATGGAGCCTGCACACACCCAAGACACTGTCTCTCTCCCAGGAGAGACGTGTGGCTTGGGAACACTGCAGGCCCCACGGTGAGTGCCACCCGGCATTTTGTCATCCCCCTCAGTAGTGACACCCAGGGCGGACCGCACCCACCGCACCCCCTTTCTTATGCCCCTGCATATTGCAGCCACTGAGGTCCTGTAAACACTTCGCTGAGCCATCTGTGAGGAAACATCAAATGCATTGCTCTCCCCAGCAACCCTGGAGATGCATTTGGGAGGGCCTTCCCCATCCTTATGGGGTTCATGGTAGGGGTGTGGGTGTTAGGTTGTGGCGAACATATCAGACGACATAGCGATTCTTCAAACAGCGCTTCTTTATTCTGAGGCCAGAACTGAAGGGCTCAGTCAGCCTGCTTATATAGAGCTCCAGTACCTTGTTACTGTAACAACTTTCTAAAACTATCCAATCACTGAACGTCACTTTCGATCCTTCATTTGCATACAAACTATCCAATCACTGAACGTCACTTTCGATCCTTCATTTGCATAACTATCTACAGTATCCCCCTGCTGGCCCAGGGTGAGAACTTCAGTACATAACAGTGGGGAAGATTTTGCCCTCAGTTCAACAATGTCACAAAGCACAGCACTTTCCAAATGGCAACCACTTATTTACAGGAGAAAAAGTAAAAGGATGCACTCAGACATGCATTGGGGTAGAGTTGAAACCTGCTTCCTGACTGCTTATCCCAGCCATTGAAAAAGAAGCTTCTTTTGAATTATGACTCCGCTCTGTTTCACAGTAGTGTATGACAGGATATTGACAAGTCATGAGAGGAGTGGCCAGCATGGTGCTGAATGCAGCATGTCTGAATGCAGCTCCCATTGTCCCTGACCATTGACTATACTGGTGGGACTGGTGGCAACTGTTAACGACATCTGTTGGCTATGCCTGATCTAGAACGATTATCACAGAGCAATTCAGAGAAGAGCAGTGCTTTGAACTCTGGCTTATCAAATTCCATTCTAGCACACCACTAGAGTCCACAGTCTATTATCGTGTCTAAAAAAGACAGTCTATCTGAGAATGAGATTGGTCAGTTCCACTAAATAAAACTTGCCTCTTAGACTGCAGAGTCTTTGTTCCTTCTTTGTCAAAATCCATCTGTTTCTTGTTTTATTTTTATTTGTTCTGGAAGCCTTTGCCTTCTGAATAAGCAATTCTATTCTTGTTTCAGGGCAGCTCCAAAACCTTTTGGGCAACAGGCAGTATTAAGTACAGAAACAGAGAGGCGATTTATTTATTTATATGTAATAAAATTTGCATAAAAGCTTAGGGGTTTTTTCTTCTTCCATAAAAGCTTATTTTCCAATTCTGGATTAAAACCATTTGAAGCACACAAAGGACTGCATTGTGAGATCTGATTTAATACTTGCTGTGCTGGGGGTGATATGCCTACCCTGGCACAGCTATAACGGATCCAAGAGCTAAAGAAATGGCTTAGCAAAATACTCTGATCCTCTCTCATTCATCTAGAATGAATTATGGGCTAAATTAGATGCTCTGTGTATGTGTGTGTGGTTTAACGAAACACTTATTTTTGCAGTAGGGCTTGGCCTAAATATATCTTTAACCATTAGCATCAAGCTAATGGTTATCAAAGCATGGTAACACAGGAAACTTTTTTATAGAAGGTGAGATTATTTGTCCATCTAGCCCAGTATTATCTCCTATTATAATGTCTCTCCAGAGTTTCAGGGAGAGAGGGTCTTCCCCAGCCATTTAATCTGGAATGCCAGGATTGAACATGGGACCTTCTGTGCAACAGCACTAAGCTACAGCACTTGCCCCAAAATTTAACTACTGCAAACAGAACTGCATTCTGACCTTCAGTGTGGAAGCTATCCAGTTAGAATTAATTATAAGCATCATTGTTAAATCGATTTAAAGTCAAAGTTTCTTATTGGTGCATCTGCTAATGCCCAACAGTCAGAATGGTAATTAAGCCTGAAGGGATTTCCATTTGGAACACAAAAAAGCCCCTGATGATGTAGCATTTAAGAATAATAAAACAGACAGACACGTTAATTGATGTACGAAGCCAATTTACCTCACATAGTCTTTATCAGACTGAGCCCACAGAGCTCTGAACTCCTTGGAGGAAGAAGAACATAAACAAAATAATCAAGTAAACCAACCCTTTTGGATGAGATGTGCCAGCCTTTTTGTGATTGTATGGCATACTGTCACAACTTTCTTTGCTGTTCATGGCAGCTATTTTGTGCTGGCACTCACAGCACTTTTATCAAGATATGAATATCAGCATCTCTCTCTCTCTCTCTCTCTCTCTCTCTCTCTCTCTCTCAAATACACACACACTCTCTCTCTCACACACACCATAAGTGTATTTTTTGCTAGATGACTACTGGCACATGAGTGATGAAAAAGAATTGAAGGGTAAAAAATTTAGCTGAGTGGCAATGAGACACCAGTGGAAAGTGGACTGAAAACATTGGGAATGCTGAACTGGGCATAAGATAAAACTAACATAGCATCATTTTACGTAGAAAGGGTGGGTTGTTCCTTGGATTATGGAACAAAGCTAAAACCTGCACCAGCATCAATGAATAAGTCAAAGCACTGCTTCCATCTTTTCCAGTTGTTTGCAGCCTATTTGGAGAGATCCAATGTGGGGGAATCTACAGACATATAAAACCATTCTGAAAATGTTTTTCTTTTTTAAAAAAAAGCTTTTTAAAAAATACATTGAATTTTCCATGAGGCTCACCATCTAGAGTCACATTGCGTATTGCACCTAAAACTCACTTAAAACGTTTTATTTGCAGCTGTATAGCTGAGTTCTGTGTCCAGGACTCCAAGCAGTTCTATACTTCCTTCTCCCTCTTTCAGTTTCACAATCAACCTGTATTGAATCCCACTTCAATAGTACCATGTGTTTTTCTCTGAATTACAGAACAAATCTAGAATGGAGAACTAACAGTATGTGTGACTTAATACAAGAGACCTCCATCATGTTTACCCTCTCAGTTTGTTGTAGTTCACTTTCCGTCTTCACTCCTTGTTCCTTCCAGCCCATTTCTTAAGGAAGCCTCACCCTCACAAAGGGAACCCAGTGAACACATTTTAATCAAGGAATTCTGCTTTGCCTTTGAGAGTTTCCTCCTTGTGTGTTCTCTTCTCTAGGCTCCATTTTTCACCAGCAAAATACTGTATCCTTAATCTCTGTCATCTCTCCTGTTGCTTCTGTATCCTTAATGGATGGCTGCCAAAACTCACAAAGCATCAGTGGCCTGACATCCAAAGAAGTAAATTCATCAGGATGCAGAGAATTTTGCATAACTATTCAGAAACAAAATGCTGCTTCTCTATAAAAAGCAAACAAAAGTACCCTACTGAAAAGAGGAGAAGCATTTGGGAGAGAGGGGAGTCATGGTTATTGTTTTTCATGGAAAGGTCTCTTGATGCCCTTGATCAAAAAAAACCTTTCATTCCCTCTTGGAACCAGTTCCATGAATGGCATATGAAACACCTTCATCCCATTTAAGGCTTAGTTTAAATTGTCACCCTTTTCTTTCTATCCCCCAAGGCACTGCTTCATTTTTAATTTTACTTAGACATGTAAGCAACCCAATTTACCTTATATATTGGCTCTTTGGCAATCACGGGGAAAATATCATCTAACTACACACACTTTGTGTAAACAGCAAAAATAGCTTTCTTAATGTGCGTAGTAAAAGTAAATAAGTATCTTCCAACATAAGCAAACCAGTTTGCCAGCAAAGCCAGATAACTCCCCAATAAGGTTTCTTAAGGGGAAAAAAAGAGTTGCCTTTATAATAAACTGTATAAAAGCTGAAGTCTTTTGCAGATTTTAAAAATAAGTCTGATGTTACAGTAAAAACAGTATGGGTTGTTAGAATTAAAATGTCTTATGCAAGCAAAAGAATTGGACATGTCCTGACTTTACTCCTTAGTAAAGTGAAAAATGTTAGCAGATTAGTGTGTTATATATATATATATATTATTTAAAAACCATAGCACTTTGTTTGCAAATTGATTGCTGTGTTAAAATTTTGAGGCAAATAATGTTAAAATAAGAACTGCTGCAAAACTGTCCTGTTGATGACCCTAGGAAATGAAGAAGGTGGAGATGAGAACATGAAGTGGCATAAAAGATTGAACCAAAGATACACCTAGATATACTACTATCTGTCCTTAGGTACAGGGATTCAGAACTGT